TCGGTTACCGGAGCCATGTTGATGATTGATGTGATCGTAGTTGTAGTGAAGACGACGTGCTCTCTGATTGTGTTGGAGCTATGTTATAACGTACTGCGTATTCTTCAACGCTTTTTTCTATGCTTTATAGCAACCTCTCGCGCGTTCATCAGATACGAATCGGGATGCACTCCCTGTTGACATGTTAATTGGCCTTCATCTCGATGATACATGATCTGTTGCCTTCCAAGATCTAGAGATGACCATAGATTGGGTTTGGTTTCTCTCTGTCCCGGATTCCAAGTGTATTGTTTCGTACCCCGCATCTTGTGCAGCTACGAGGACCGCCGTGAGGTCGGCATATGGAAACAGTTCGAGTGCTACAACAAGGGCTGCCTATTGTGCTGCGGCTGAACACCTGATCGGCTTGTCGATACATAGGATTACTGAGCCTTCCGCATACACGTGGGGTCGCTGCACCCTGCACATCTGCCATCTATCCTTTGTATGGATAAAATCTAATATCAGAACACTTGACCAGATCCCTAGGGATGGCGTAGTGGGATCCTTTGCCTCTGTGAGACCACCAGTAAGGTCATGGGTTGTAATCTTGATGCGGTCACAGGTTGTATCGAACATATTGTCGGCAGCTGGGCAGTAACTGCCGTAGATGAAGCTGTAACTGGTGGGGCTTCCGCGGGGGTAAACACCCTGAACTCGAAGCTGGCGACATGACTCGAATGACCTCAATTGAGATGTACATGCAGCTTAAATGATTGCAACAGTACGTGGTTGCTACTAAGTGGAGTCGCAAATAAGCTGTCTAGTTGCGGCGACGCGTCGTGGTCTCGCGATGATGGAGCTGGGAGGTCAGCCCTGGAGGATCAAATTCATTTCCCCGCCACGTGCACATCACGCGCGGCTCATGAATGTATTTCCTCATTTTTTTTTCAACATTCACAAGACAGAACGGCAACAAGACTCGTGACAGAAAAAGATGTATGGTATTGATACAAATAACATGACGCTGAAGCAATTTACAGCTTCATACCCAGCACCTTGTGCACCCGCAGCGCCTGCCTGATACTCAAGTCAAGCATGATCTCCTCCGATCCACCAGGGATAGCATAAGCCCTGACATCCCTATACAGTCTCTCAACCTTCGCGCCTTGTCCACCACGGCTGTAACTCAGACCACCGAAGATCTGACTTGCTTCCCTAGCACAGAACTCGAATGTGGTGGTACTTTGCGCCTTCAAACTGGCAATAGCACCACCAAGCTTCAGCATAGCCTCCATCTCGTCCATCTTCTGGCACTGGTAGATGAGGTTCTCCATCCAGTTGTAGCTTGCCTCGATCTGACGTGCCATATGCGCGAGCTTGAGGCGAATGACAGGGTGGTCGATGAGACGCTTGCCGAAAGTCCTGCGCTTGTGTGCGTACTTTACGCTCTCCTCGTAGCAGACACGGGCGAAGCGCAGACATTGGATGATGATGCCGATGCGCTCGTGGTTGAAGTTTGTCATGACGACCTTGAAGCCCTGGTTCTCTTTGCCAATGAGGTTCTCGACGGGGACCTTGACGTCCTCGAAGGTAACGTAGGTAGTGCCGCTGCTCCATACACCTTGGCAGTCCATCTTGCGAGTGGAGACACCACCGGCGCTGCGCTCGATCAGGAGCACTGACACACCGTTCATGCCCTCTCCGCCAGTGCGGACAGCGGTTGTGAAGTAGTCGGACCAGATACCGTTGGTGATCCACTTCTTCTCGCCGTTTACGATGTAGTGTTTGCCGTCTTCGGAGAGCTTGGCTTCGCAGGTCAGGTTCGCGACGTCGCTACCGGCATCTGTTGCAGTTAGTAATTGATTGAGCCATATCGAGGACAGGATGGGGAAACTCACCAGGCTCGGTGATGGCGAGACAGATCCTCTTCTTTCCGCTCAATAGGTCTGGTCCAATGCGCTGAACGAGCTCCTTCTTGCCGAACTTGAACAGAGGAGGTCCACCAATTCCGTATCCTCCGATCAGGCCCCAGACGAGACCACCGCTGCCTGTCCTTGACAGCTCATCGGTGATGATCATCTCGTGGAAGTGATCCCACTTCTCTGTCGGCACACATTGGACCCGCTTGTCTGTGTATTCTGTAGGGAAGTGCATGCCGAGCATACCAGCGAGGTATCCGCGCTCGCCCATTTCCTGGAAGATCTCGTCGGGCACCTTCTTCGCTTCGTCCCATTCGGTGACGTTGGGCATGAGTTTCTCCTCGACCCATTGGCGGACTTCATCGCGGAGGGCTACGTGGGTATCGTTGTAGTAGGGAGAGTGGTACTGGATCTGGTGTTAGCGATGCCAATGCGTGATGTGTAGACCGACATACTGTTTGGTACCACGACGGGTCTGCGTATGGGATGAGGTCGCCGTAGGCATCGAAAGGCTCGGAGTCCTCAGCGGCAGCCTCGGTTGGCTGTGGCGCAATAACACCGGAGTTGGCCTCTGGCTTGACCACATCCTTCTTCGGCGCCTTCTTCTGCTCGGGCGCAGCAGTAGCAGGAGGAGCTGGAGGCGCGGCTTTGCTGTCTAGCGATCCGACTTGTAGCTGCTTCTGGTACTTCTTAAGGATGCTGTCATTGTGGTACTTCCAGAACTGCTTCGAGGCGTCCTTTCCGGCGACGCGTTGGAGGACTTGCGACTGTCAGCTTCGCGAATCATGTTTGTGCATCGAGTTTGGACATACTCTTCTTGCCTCCTGGGTGCTCCTCCTGGAAGTTCGTGAGATCATAGACATCCTCATCTACGATGATCCACAGGTCGCTTGCTGTCTTGTGCGACGCGACATCAGCGGTTGAGAAGCGTTTCGACATGTTGGTAAGTGTCAACACGTAAGAGGGGTAGTTGTAGTAAGGAGAGCAGAGTGATGAGGTGTCGCTAATCACAGGACAGCCCTTACTGACTTATAAGAGGCTTAGCAAGTTTCGGGACGTCTTCACATGCCAGGAACTACTCCACGCCAAGGCAATCCGGGGAACCCGCCAGCTGCTGAAAGTCGGCCGCACATAGCGCGTTCTGGAGTGCAGCAAGCCGCTGTCTGATGATCTCGTGCGTTGGAATGCGAGCGCTGCAATTGGTTGTTGCCGTCACGGACCGGGTGACTTGCTGTTTGGAGCTTCACGTCATACGCGCAAATGCCGAGGTATGCCGCATTGGGACGCTCACGTGTCGACATCTCAGTCTTCACATGCCGAACAGAAGAGGCTGACATTCAGATGCTCAGCGAGCCGTCGCATGGGTTACTCTGACACCTAGTCAAAGCGCAGGGGACGCCCCAGGTCGTCGAGCGAGGAGTCCCGACGAAGCTATGGCGCGTCCTTCCAACGCGTTTCGTGGGGTCTCCGCATCACGACCGCGTCATTCTTCGTCGCCTTCAAGAACTCGATGAGCATTCAAGTTCAGCCATGGAGACAACTTCTCACCTCCCATTCATAACTCAACGCATGCATAATACAGGATGTCTCGACAAGTCCAGGTAAAGAAGGGGTCTGAGATCCAAGCCCCAGATGGTCCCCAAACTGATGGCATGATGCGCATGCCCGCAATTGTGGACATGTCGGACCAGATCTGTGGAACAGGTAGGGCTGATGTTGTCACTAACACTTCGACTACTGACGATGACAGTAATGATCGCAAAACCTCATACAGCTTCTGCGATCCACCACCATGGCGATGAGGGTACATCCTGTATTGCACCCGTGTCCCCCTTGATGCGCGCTCGGGCGATTTCGTAATATTGTACGAGTAGTACCTGAAATCTTGGCAGACACCATCGTGTACGCCGCGAAGGGTCATGGCGCCCTAGTCAGCGGAACGAACGGCAATAAAAGACAAGAGCTAGCACCAGGAGATTTTGCACTCATACCAGCGTATGCAGAGCATCAAGAGATCAACGATAGCGATGAGGATGTCGTTTGGATCATCACACGGGGTGGCAGAAATCCTGTTGTCCGGAACCTCGAGGTTTGGTCAAAAGACTGAGATGTTTGCCAGCGCAGCCCTGTCAAGAACCCCTCTTCGGGCACGAACACACAGATTCATTACCGTCGCGGGACCGAATTACATGTCCTGATGCGTTCAGTCATCCCGTATGTTGATTAGTCGCATTCGGCCCATCTACGTCGAATGATAGCGGTGAAACTGACCATCTGCCACTCGATATCACAGCAGAACGGGAACTTTGCATCATCTACAAGGCTTTCAAGCGGAAATCTACGTCAGACATGCCTGTTTGTCTAAGCGGTGCTGCAGGTGTCGATAACACATTGGCGACTTGTCGCTCACATGTTGGGATCATGGGCTCTCATTGGTCAGCAGGCCCTCTCGTTACAGCGCCCCAACATTAATGGTACAGCATACATTGCCTGGTAGATGGCGAGATGCATGCCTTATATTTGAGTTTGAGCCCCCCTCAGTCCAGTGCTATCACTACCCTCATTGTCTCAGCCCCCTATATTACTTGACCCGTCCGGACCGCTCGGCATACACGGCACCCACGGCACGTGTTAGCCACAGTTGAGCCACACCAGAGACTGCGCCATACGTCCACGCAAAGGCAGTAATCATTCATTGGAATTCATACTCCCTGAAAAACGCGTCGTTGAGTACTGATTTGGCGGTACCGAGAACGCTGGCATGGTGGTGACCCATACTTAGCAACACACCGAGCGCCACACTATCGCGTACTGTTCACTTCTTTGTTTAAAGCGCCACCTTTACCTTGTGTTTGGCATATTCTACTTTGCGACTGCAGAGATGTCGTCTCCTACGAGATCGTCTTTCTTCACAGGCATTTGTACTTTTTCCATACTAATCTCAACCGGATGTGTGCAGGCACAACTTGATTACAGCAAACATGTCAATGTCTTGTAAGTAGCAGATTCCATGCTATCTGTACTGCACTCACAGCTATCAGTCAAGGAACCCAGGGCGGAGGAAATAGATTTCCTGGGGTCGTGGCTGCACCCTTCGCGATGGTCAAGCTTGGACCTGACGTTCAGTTCATGAATACCGACGCGTACTCTGGGTACCTCCCCGAGGGCAACATTTTCGGCTTCAGTATGATGCACGAGTCTGGGACAGGAGGAGCGCCAAAGTACGGCGTCGTAAGTCAGATGTCAGTGGTCGGTGAGGTGCCGGATCCCCTTGCAGATCTGTCCCAACCACGAGCATCGCCAGATCAAGGGAGTCTTGGCTACTACAAGAGTTCGCTGGCAAATGGGATCACAGTAGAACTAGGCGCGACCGAACATGCCGGGCTTTACACTTACTCTTTTCCAAACGGCACGGCGTCGTCCATTGTAGTCGATGTCTCGCACGTACTTCCCAGTTTCAGGGGCCTTGGGTGGGAGCAACACTACTCGGGTGGTAGCTTCAGTATCGAAGAAGATGGGCACTATGAAGGCTCTGGTATCTATAACAACGGCTGGAACCTATCACCAGATTGGACAATCTATTTCTGTGGCCGGTTCAGCAAGCAGCCTGTACGATCAAGGACTTTTAACGGAGGTGCCAATGCATCAGACGCTTCGGTATCAGGAAGTGCCCGTCTTGGCGGTGTCTTCACATTCAACGAACCAGAAATAACATCCCGAGTCGGCATCTCCTTCCTCTCTACCTCTCAGGCTTGTACAAACCTCGAAGAAATCTCCCCAGACACCTCACTCACCACCCTCGTCTCCCGCGCAAAGAACAGATGGAACAACGAAATCCTCAGCAAAGTGCAAACCTCCTCCTTCGACACCTCCGATCTCTCTCTCATCTACAGCTCCCTCTACGGCGCCTTCCTCATCCCCTCGAACCGAACCGGCGAAAACCCATCTTGGAACTCCACCGAACCCTACTACGACGACATCTTCACTTTCTGGGACACGCACCGCTGCCACACCTCCCTCTTCCACATCCTGCAACCCACCGCCTACGAAGAGTTCCTCCGCTCTCTAATCGACGTCTGGCGCCACGACGGCTTCTTACCCGACGCGCGGTCTTCAAACTACAACGGCCGCGTACAAGGCGGTTCAAACGCCGACAACGTGCTCGCAGACGCCTACATCAAAGGCGTCCGGGGCGCGATAAACTGGGACGATGGTTTCGCCGCCATGCGCACCGATGCTGAAGTCGTTCCACCCAACAACTTCGACCCTCAAGCGCCTGATTCCTCGACGAAGGAGGGCCGCGGCGCACTCCCAGATTGGCTCGAATACGGATACATAACACCAGCTTTCACCCGCGCCGTATCGCGTGCCGTGGAATACTCAACCAACGACTACGGCCTCCACGTCGTTGCCGCAGGTCTAGGTAAAACATCCGAAGCAGAAACCTATCTAAACCGCTCCCGCAACTGGCGTAACCAGTGGGACCCCAATGCTTCCTCCTACAACCACACCGGTTTCCTCGTCCCGCGCCTCGCAAACGGCGATTTCGTTCAACAAGACCCTGCTGATTGCGGCGGCTGCTACTGGCCCGACGCGTACTATGAAGACAATAGTTGGATCTACAGTATGAATGCTATCCACGACGTCGCCGAGTTGATAAAGAAAGTAGGCGGCAACGAGCGGTTTGTAGATCGTTTGAACAAGATCTTCGAGTTGGGCTTCTTTGACGCCGGGAATGAACCTAGTTTTACTACGCCGTATCTTTATAATTTCGTCAAGGGGGAGCAGTGGAGAAGTGTTGAGCGGAGTAGGGGTGTATCAGACTTGTATAATGCGGGGGTTATGGGTTTGCCTGGAAATTCTGACGCCGGGGCTATGGAGGCAAATTTGCTCGTAAGTCATCTTTTCAGTCTTATCTTGATAGCTGCTGGAGACGATGGCTAACAGTGCATGTAGTGGCAGATGATCGGTCTATACCCAGTGACGGGCCAGACAACTTTTCTCATTCTCTCCCCATGGTTCTCAGAACTTACGCTTGATCTTGGGAACGGGAAGAAACTTACTGTTACGACTGCTTTCAGTGATGGCGGCGATCGGAATACCGCGCCATATGTGCAGAGTCTGAAGGTCAATGGCGAGACGTGGGACAAGGCATGGGTGGCTTGGGAAGATGTCTTTGAGAACGGAGGCACCATGGAGTATGTGATGGGAAGTAGTCCCAGTCACTGGGCGACAGGAGATCTACCACCTAGTCCAGCTTCGGAATAGAACAGTGATCCCAGTCATGTTCACGTCGGCAGCATATGTCTAGTTATCATTTTCACTGACAAAGAAGCTTGATGTGGTAGTGTTGAGAATAATATTACTCAAAAGACGGTGGTATGCCATCAGTATGCTATCAACACCTGTCACTGTCGCAACCAGAGCATACAGAGAAAATATACATTTCGATCCAAGCAGTCGTAATCTGGTAGTCCATAAGTCTGCAATGCAGCATGCCACTGTACGCCGACGCCTGTCAATGCGCAAACAAATAAAGTGAAGTAAAGTAAAGAGATGAGAATATCGAAAAAGCTGCGTGGTGTCTTTGAAAAGAAGCAAGTAGCGTTGTGGCGTGGGACTGGCCGATAAGATCTAGGTGACCAAGACAGGTTCCCGAACGACAGCCGGACACGAATATTTTTACGGCGGCGGTGGCGTCTCCTCAGGATGCACGTAATCGAGATGATATCCAGTGGAGAAATAACCAACGTGGTCGGACATGATCCGAGGAAGGGTTGATTCCCATAAGGCTCGCTGTTCTTCAAGTTTCTGTTTTCGTTTCTCTGCATCCGCGGTCCCCGCGTCAGTCTGTAGTCTACGTTGCAAAAGCAGTGGTGCGCTACGGCTCGTGGGTAGCGTGGGGGAATGGCTCCACTCGTTTGCCCACGTATTCGCTCTTTTGTGCCCATGGTTCCGTGGGATTGTTGTGGCAGCACCATCGTCTTGGCTGCCCAGCTGTTCTAGTCCAGGCCTCCTCCGTACGCGTCGCAGTCTCTGGGATAGACCTCGTCTCATCGATTCGCCCGTTGTCTCCACAGCATCCGAGGGCTCCTGGACATCTTCCTCGTGTTGTATCGTTGCCGTCTTCGCGATGATCGGAGATCCAGGGGAGGGAATGTCTTGGACATCCTACACCAAAGTACAAGGTTAGTAACTTTGAGGTGCGTAGTGTGCGGGCTACAAGCCAAAGTCAGTCCTGCTATAAATGCAATAGATAGCCCTGAATTAAACAAGAATTCAGTAAGCTCAGTTACGATACGTACTGGTGAGTTGAGCATGCTTTGACGCTTGTTCCTGCTCTTCTTGATGTGGCTCTTGAGCGCGCTCGAATCGAGTGGTTTGAGAAGTTCGAAACTGCAAAGCAGTTCTCCCGAAACCGACATAACGGCGCCCCAGTTGTCGAATTCGCCACAGTACTGGGAAGTGTCAGCAGGAGTGTGACTGTGGGGTATAAAACATTGCTTACGTTTGGAGCTGAAAACACAGTGACCAACACTCGATCAGTAAAGAACTCATAGCCATCCTCTACCACCATGTGTGCTCTGCAAACAAGGTCGAAGTCATGCCTTGCGAGGAACTCCATGATGACCTTCTTTCCAAAACAATAACTAACGCCTCTTTCGTTGGACTCCCAATCATTCTCCATATCCGCAGGATCACTCCACAAGAGGTCGTTCAGCAAGCCATAGTCGGGTACATCGGTAGGTCGCGCGATTTGTCTAATGTCATCCATATGCGACAAGCTTGGAGACAGCCCACCGTGAACACAGAAAATCTTCTGCGCAACAATAGCTGCAATAGGGAGTGTGTTGAATGTATCCACGAAAGCCTTCCATACTTTGATATTGCATCTCCTCTTGCATTCATCGTAGAAGCCGTATACACGTGTAACGTTGGCGCATTCGTGGTTGCCGCGGAGGAGGAAGAAGTTCTCGGGGAACTTGAGCTTATAGCAGAGCAAGAGTAGGATAGTTTCGAGGCTCTGTTTGCCGCGGTCTACGTAGTCGCCGAGGAATAGGTAGTTCGAGTTGGGAGGGAATCCGCACATCTCGAACATGCGGATCAAATCGGTGTATTGGCCATGGATGTCGCCAACAATCTTGACAGGGGGAGCGAGCTCGAGCAGTGCGGGCTGACTCAGGAAGACTTCGCGGGCAGCAGAGCAGATGGCGAAGATTTCAGCGTTCTTCAAGCTGACCGTCTTGGTGACTTTTCCAGCATAAGCTGCATCCAAGAGTCGCTGGATCATGTCGTCAAGGTCCATGGTCTTGAGCGCGGTGAGCTCCATGGGGGAGCCTGAACCATCAGTGGGCGCGGGGGGCTCTGGAAGCCTGGGGATGGGCTGGTCTTTCTTCTGTAGAATTGACTCTCCCGGCTGAGCAGAGGCCAAGGGCTGTGCTGCTCCCGTCGGCGGAACGTCCGAGACGTGGTCGACTTCGCCGGTTTTCTGTGCCTTGCTCACTCCTTCATGTCCCGTTCCGAGTGTTGCGCCGTGAACAGGTGAGGGCGGCGCTTGCGGTTCGTCTTGGTCTGATTCAGCCTTATCAGCGGCTTCCGGAGTTACTTCTGCGGGAGCGGTCGCTGAAGCCGAAGCGACCGAGCCCCGTCGCGAGCCTTTTGATTTGGTGGAAGCTACATCTGACTTGTCAGCTTTTCCGTTGGGGTCGTTGAGGGCGGCAATAGAGTTCCGTGGGCTGTCGGATTTGCCAGTGCCGGGGATCTTGTTGCGCAATGAGTTGCGAAGGGAGCGGGTAGAGTCTTTGGTGTCGGATCGCTCGAAAGAGCGGTAGTACTCGCGACCGAGAGGTACGCCGTCGGCACCGCCCTTCTCGCCCTTCTTGTCCTTGCCGCTCGACTGCTGGTTACCCATGATGGGGGTTGCGGACTAAGCGAGCGTGTGGAGAGGAGTATGGGGTGTGTGTATGTCTGGTGAGAGCAGTGGTGTCCTGTCTCACAGCCTGGGGAAGCGGCGGCGGCGGGTTGGGTTGGAAAGTGAAAGCACGAGCCGATGGTAGCCCTGGCGGCTTCCCAGGATGTCTCGGAGCGATGACGCCACGTGCAAACACGCTCTCAGGTGATGTGTGAGGAAGTAGGTAGGCAGCGCGCAGAGACGGTGTTAGGGCGGCCGGTAGAGGCGGGCGAGAAAAGCAAGGAAGCGTGCCTCCGTCGGCGCTGTCGTTATCTGCCTCGGAGACTGGCAGGCGAAGCTGGGCGAGGCGACGGGGGAGCGATCGTCTTCCAGCGTGCGCGCCAGATCGATGGTATGCGGGCTGTGAGCGGGTCGGGCAGGCTCACGGTGTGCGGGCAGTGCTGATGCGTCTGCGTGCGGGCGTCGTCGTGGCAGCGGTGATATCAACCTCTACGCGAGCAGAGCGGGGATTTAGTTGCGATGTCAGCCGCAAACCTTAGTGGCAGCCAGGGCATGGGCAGTGACGCTGGTGGGCGAGCTGGCGTCCTTCGGGCTCTGCGGACCGGTGAATAGCAGCGTTGGAAGCACACTAGCGCAATCAATGAGGGCAGACTAGCAGAAGCCCAGACAACCCCGGCGTTGAGGCTGTACACGACCTAGACGGCAACAACACGGAGATCACAGCGATGCGCGACTGCTGGAACGGCTATCGTGAGAGGGGCAAAAGCTGCGGAGAGAGAGAGCGCCGCAGACGGTAGCGAAGTTGGAGACGAAAGGCTGCCAAGCCAAGGACAAGCCGACAAGGATGACGACTGGGCACACAAAGCGAACCGCCGCCTCTTCTCGGTATATCCGACCACGTCCTGGACCGACACATCAGACATTACGGATGCCGGCATGGCCAGTTGACACGCACCACGGCTGACAGTCAGGCGCCCACGATCCATGGGTGTCACTTGCAAATCACGCATCACGTTTTCGAAAACCACTCCCACTGACCCCACGAACGGCATCACCGTGGGCCCACTGCCAGCAGTTCGCCCAAGCTATGGGAATAAACGAAGCTGCTGCAGTTACAACGCTCCTCGGACCCCACCGCTCCGCCACTCACGTTCGAGAGCTTACGCAAGCATTCTTGTTCCGCCGTGCGGCGCAGAAACACAGTTGCCCATGCGCCCAAGGCCACTCGAGAAATCCCGCTGTTGCGACATTTATTCTCCTGCTGCCCAAGGGGTAATTGAGCGCGTGCTGCACGACGTCACACGTGTCAATGAAGTAAAAGCCTCATCATTCATGCTTTACACCGACATTTGCATTCTGAAATGAACATGAGGTAGTCTTCTCCACCTTCTCATCACGTCAACTGTCCAAGCCGTGGCGCCAAGGGCGGATATCTTGGGTGCACATGTGACCAGACTGGTGTGTGCAAGACGCCACATGCATCGCCGCAGTCTCCAGTATTATCAACAGCACTTGACATTGCATCCATACGAGTCCGCTATAGCTTATTCCCTAGGTTGACATGGATAGCCTATTTATATGTTAGCTCAACCTGCATGAGAGTTTGCTAGCGTAACGTACCTTCTTGTTGGTGTATGCCTCAAGACCAGCCTCGCCCAGCTCTCTGCCAATACCAGACTGTTTCACACCCCCGAATGGAATACGGATATCGGAATCGTTGCTCGAGTTAATCCACACCATGCCCGCTTCAATACGTCTGGCAACGCGATGAGCCTTAGTGATGTTCTCAGTGAAGACGGCTGCACCGAGACCGTATGTTGTGTCATTGGCACGGTTGATCGCCTCCTCCTCTTCCTTGAACGAGCTAATAACGACGAAAGGACCAAACACTTCCTCGCGGTAGATCTTCATGCTGTCTTTGACGTTGGTGAAGATGGTGGGTGAGACGAAGAAGCCCTTGCCACCAGCGTTCTTGTACGCTTCTCCACCTGCAATAAGGGTGGCGCCCTCCGACTTGCCAGACTCAATGTATGACAGAACGCGGTCGAATTGCGTCTTGGTGACCTGCGGCCCCTGGAATGTGTCGTCTTTGAAGGGATCGCCTACCACAGAGGTGGTCTTCACATGCTCCTTGAACGCCTCGACAAACTTGTCGTAGATGCCTTCTTGCACTAGGATTCTCGATGTCGCCGTGCAAACTTGGCCCTGGTTGTACCTACATGGTGTGAGCTCAGTTAAGGAAATAATGTAGATACGACTTACATGATGCCAACGTGACTCCATTTGACTGCTTGATCAAGGTCTGCGTCGTCAAAGACTACTAGAGGTGATTTACCACCTGTTTCAAGGGTGATGTTCTTCATGTTGACAGCCGCCATCTTCATGATCTCTTTTCCTGTGGCTGTAGATCCTGTGAATGCAATCTTGTCGACGTCGAGATGTTGGGCCAGAGCAGCACCCGCCTTCCTTCCCTCGCCGTTAATGAAGTTGACGACACCAGGAGGGAAGCCAGCCTCCTTGACCAAGTTTCCGAGGTACAGGATAGAGAGGGGTGTTTGTTCAGCGGCCTTCAAGACTACTGTGTTACCAGTGCAGAGAGCAGGTCCTAGCTTCCACGCTGCCATTGCAAGAGGGAAGTTCCATGGAATGATCTGACCACAGACGCCAAGAGGCTCACGGACTGTGTAAGCCAGCTTGAGAGGCGAGGTATCAATGACCGTGCCGTGGATCTTGTTGGCATATCCTGCGTAGTACTTAATAGTGCCAACAACCTCACCCAAGTCGTCGTTCAGCGAGACAGAGTAAGGCTTGCCATTGTCCCATGTCTCGATGGTTGCCAGAGTTTCCTTGTGTTCTTCGATCAATTGGGCAAACTTGTAGAGAAGGTCAGCTCGGGCATTGGTGTCCATGTCTCGCCAGTCTGGGTTCTTGAACGCTTTCCGCGCTGCTGCTACGGCATCGTCCACATCTTCGGGTCCAGCGGCATAGACGGAGACGATCTCGCTCTCATCACTGTACCATGTTAGTCATAGTTACTAATCAAGACAGCAAGCGTACCTCGGGTTGATCGAAGTGATAGTCTCGCCCGACTTCGACTTGACGAATTCGTTGTTGATGAAGAGACCCCTTGGCTGCTGGTACTTGCGACCGTTCGGCGCCGTAAGCTCAACGAAGAGGTCAGACATGTTGGTTTGAGTACTGTAGTGTCTCCACAAGGGACGGTAACAACTTGTAGGAGCTCTGCGTATGGAAGTTTGAAAGGGAACAGATGGTTTGGAGCGAAGTGAAGCGCGAGTGAGTGCGGAGTAGAGACAGGACATCTCCCTGGCCGGCGAGGAGACAGCTAGCTATCTATAGGCTGCAGACATGTAGGACGCTGATGACGACCGCGGGACAGCCGTAGCTTCCCTTGATAGTGTGGACCCCGCCATCGATGCCCGTACCTAGCTTATCCGCATGCAACTGCCTCTTTCAGACGCCCGTCGTCCCAGTATCGGCCTCTCTCATCAACTTTATCAACCACGGCTATAGATGCGACACGTCCCCGAGGTCCACGGGCTGAACAGACGCGTGCCGTCATGTGAGTAGGCGAAGCGGGCTGGGCAGTCGCCGCGCGACGCGTCGGCGTCCAGAGTCGGCAACAGCCCTGTCGCTACCCCACCACCATCACGAGAAACTCACGCGCGCATCCAATAAATCTTCTTATTCCCGATCCTGCGCAAACCGAGACTCCCCACCGACTACACACCGGCCGCAATCCAACGTTTGTCACACAATGTCGCGAGGCAGCACCACAAAGATACAAACCCACTTACTCAGACTGCCGCAGACTCTCGCCGCGCTCCCTCTCGCCCTCGCAGACCCCACCGTAGACATGGTGGAAGAAGCGACGCTGCCCATTACCCCCGAAGCCGAACGCCCCGATGCCTCGATAGACGTTGCCCACTCGCTCGAATACTGGAACAACGTCTCGCCAGATGTCAATGGCATGCTCGGCGGGTTTCCCCAAACTTCGCGCATCGATCTGCAGGGTTCTTCAAATTTCCTCACAAAATTGCGCCGGGGCAAGGCGCAGGGTTCTAAAGAGCCGCTGCCGCCTCTCGAGCGTGTCGCAGACTGTGGCGCGGGCATCGGACGTATAACAAAAGGCTTGCTGTTGGGCGTCAGTAAACAAGTGGATATAGTAGAGCCAGTGAAGAAGTTCACAGATGAGCTGGTACAAAGTCTAGGAAACGGCGAATACGCAGGCGACGGAGACGCGAAGTCTGGCAAGGGCCAGGTGGGAGAAGTCATAAACCTAGGGCTGCAAGACTGGATACCAGAGCCGGGCGCATACGATGTGATCTGGAACCAATGGTGTGTGGGACATTTGACGGATGCCCAATTCGTTGTCTACATGCGGAGGTGCGGCGAAGGCTTGAAGAAGGCAGAGGGCGATGCGACAAGCCGGAGCTGGATTGTAGTCAAGGAGAACATGTCTACGGATATCCACCACAAGGACATCTATGATGACGAAGACTCGAGTGTCACGCGGTCAGATAAGACCTTCAGGGCTCTGTTCCAGGAGGCGGGGCTGAAGATTGTGGCGACGGAGCAACAAAGAGGGATGCCGAGGGAGCTGTTCCCGGTCAGGATGTATGCGCTCAGACCTGAGTAGACGTATGGACATTCCTTCTGTTAGTGGGCTAGGGTGTCAGGCGCAGGAATCATGATACCCCAGGCGTCTTTATTAGAATGAACGCTATTACCATGCTTACACTCATCTCAACCCTATGGTATCAAAACTGCCCTACCCCTCATCGTGCCTCTACACCTCACCAATCTCCGCAAACTTATGCGCAAACCCAAGCGAAAGCACCGGTACCCCATCCACAGGTTCATGTACCGGCAACTTCCCTACCGTAACCTTCTTCTTCACCACCTTCGGTTTCGCTGCATCCTTCTCTTCCGTTTCCGGTCCCCCAGACGTATCCATGACATCTTCAAATTCCTCTTCCTCCTCTTCTTCATCCTCGTCTCCTTCCTCGCCTTCTTCCTCACCATCATCCGCACCCTGCGCACCAGGATCCGGGTAACTAGCCGGATACTTCTGCCTGAGATACTTGATGTCGAAAACCTCTTGATGCGCATGTTTCCAGAGATCTACAATCTCATCCGCGGAAAGCACGTTTTTGACGCGGGTAGTAGGGATGGCTTCAGAGTCTAGTCGTTCCGACTCGGGCACGGCGTCTTCGTCGTCTTCCTCTTCTGTGGCGGCTGTGGTAGTTGCGTCTGGCTTGCGGGGCGCGATACCCCATTCTTCGGGCACAAAACACCACTCTGATGCTTTTCCGACTCGCTCCTCGACCCAGCTTTCCTCCATGGGCTCTAGCCTCTTTCGTAGCAACGTGCCTGCCATTCCTGCTGCCATACCGCCTCCGGCATTCATCGGGAAAGAAGGGTTGGGAAATGGATGGAGAGCTTCGAATTTTGCGGTGTTGGTTGGTAGAGCTTGTATGCTGGTCATTCTCCGTCGCACGTCTCGCTCAACGAGGACTGCATTGCCCGCGCTGTCGACCATGGGGTTGCCGGCGGCATCTTTGGATGGAATGTGATGTTTTTGCGTGACGAGCTTGGATTGGTGGCGGTAGCCGCCGTTTATGAGGAGATGGATTGAGTTGAGGTAGGATGTTACTGTCCTGGTTGTTTGCTGGATTTGGGGCCTGGTTTCTCGTCAGCACGTTGACCCGCTGGGTACGGTGATAGTACAAGTTCCGCACTTCAAGGCTGATAGGAACACAATAAACGGAGATATCTTATCGCGCGTACGACAGGTATGAGACGCGAAAAGATGACACCAGAAGACGCGTCACGAGACAAAGCTGTAGACAAACACACCCGCATCCCAACGTGAACTCACTATCAGCCGCTCACTTACCAATCTACAACCTCGCCCCGACTCATCTTGTACTGCATCTCGGCCTGCAACCGTTCCATACCCTTGATCATCGGCATCAATTGACTGCGCAGCTGGTCCAACAGCCTGATGTCCTCCCGATCGGGCGCACCCTGGAAGTTTTGATTCATTTTGACCTGTGGTTCCCAGCTCTTGACTTTGACTTCCAACTCTTTTACACTGAGGATTGACCTAGGTTCGTGCGAATGCAGAGTGCTTGGAAGGGAACGAAAGCTGATGTGAAGATGTGGAGGTGCTTGAGGATGGTTGGAGTGATTGGTTGATGAATGCGGCTTTAGCACGTGGCGCTTGTATGATTTGGGATTAGTGTGCTTGGCGTGCAAGGAAGCTTGGGCAAAGGACGACCTGTTTGCGTTCCTTCATCGGAGCATGTGCATTGGTACACACGCGGCTTCGCATCGTCTAGCTGAGTGCGGAATAAACAACATTGCATTACCGGTAATGACAGGCAAGTTTCTGGGAGCAAATCTGAATACATGGCAAAAGAAGCACCTGCCGCCCCGATGATCCCCCCCGTCCCTTCTCCACTCAGCTTCCAACCACCGCATTCACTCATCAAACCTTCTCTCCAATCACTGCAATGATGCTAGCGAAGCCTCCGTCGGGTGTAGGCTTGATAGAAAGCTTTCCCGAGGCGGAGTCCCAATCGGCCCTGTGTGTAGTGTCACTCTTATCCTTCGATCCATGCGCATTGATGCCAATGGGGATGCCGAAGAGACGAATACTTCCGCCACCGGATGCAGCGCTTGAGACCTGCTTGTCAAACTCCTTGATCGTGTTGCCGGAGAACTGAACTTCGAAGGCGAGGTTCGAGACGATGACGAACTGTACGACGCGAGCCAGGCCCTTGACTTCCTCCGGGGCGCCGCTCTTGAGCTTGTAGGCATCTTTGCCTCGGATGTCCCTGTATCTGGTAAGTAGCTGTCTAGGTAATGTGCTGAAAGGAAACGGAGGCAATGGGATACACGCACCATGAACCCGAGTTAACGTTGATCGCTCGGAACTGGTCGTCCCAAGACATAGTGAGGGTAGTCTTGAGTTGGTCCTCGTGAGTGAACATGGAGCTCTCTTTATTGTCCACGCTGGCGTTGACACCCAGTGAGATCCAGGGAACGTAGTCAACTGACACGCCACCGCCTCCACTGGTATGCGTGAAGCTCTTCTCGTCCACCTTGCTGCCTTTGTTGAAGTCGATAGTTGCTTCACCGCGCGGCTTGTTCTCAACCTGCGCCGCCTTCAACCACTGTGCCACTTGCACAGCGTAGGCTGGGGCTGTGTAAAGTGGGACGTAATAATCAGTTGTGGGTGGTGCCACGACGCCGGATTTCCGAACTTGCCTCACAACGGCGTCGGCATCCGGACCTCCAAGTGTCGTAACGGGCATGTTGGATCTGAATGAGCTGTCAGGTCCTGAAGGTCTTATTGGTACGTTATCAAACTTACCCTGGCATCGGTGTTACACCGTAGATAGCATTTCGAATTCGCTGCTTGTCCTGCATGTACGAGTTTGACATGTCGCCATAGGCATCTCGAGTAGCAGAGTCGACAGCAGATACCGTGCTATTGTAGTCCGACTCTAGCGAGTTGAGGTGCTTTTGCTCACGACTCTTATAGGTGAACCATGTGTCACCCGGAACCATGAACTCTGGCTTCAGCTTGAGATTGTCCCACTCTGTTTGTGCCTTGACTGTTGCGGCATCGAATGCTTCCTTCGCTGACGCCTCGTCGAGCATTGCTGTGGCCAAATTCAGTACATTAGTAGAATTGCCATCTCCGCCCTAATTCGTCATATGAGTCTTCGCCTCTTTAATGCGGGCGATCTCAGTACTTACAAGGTCAACATGATCCATGTATGCCAGGAGCGCACGAGAGTATGACTTCGACTTGGTAGGGGCGTAGAACAAGTTGTCGGTGTACAGTTGACTATCGCCGATCTCGTAGATACCCATGTTGGCGTACATCGGATGGATCAGACTCTCCGGTCCAGCGGGTGGTCCACGCTGAGCTCTGGTGCTGAAGAAGTAGGATGTATGCTCGCCGGTCTTGTCTCCAAGTTGAGTTTTGATGGCATCGCAGTATGCAAGCCAAAACGACTTGTTGGCCTGGTCTTGAGCCATGATTGATAGCAAGATTTAGCGTTTCGGAAAAGTGGGTGTATAGTAAGATATAAAGTACAGTGATGATTTGCTTTCGATGATGTTGTTGTTTTCTTGTGATTACAATGGAACT